TCTAGGATACTAGCTAGATCTTTAATTAGTAATCCAATATCAACCAATATAAATTGTTGAGACTGAAAAGGTAGCTGGTCATATACCTCCTTATAACGACTAGTTGAGTATGATAGGTAGTGTTACACACCTCAAGAGCAACCTCCACCTCCAAACCTTCTATAACCAACACAACATCACAATCAATAAGAACATTTGTGGCAAGTATTTCCCCCAATTTATGTCGTGGCTCATAAATAGGCCTTTCAAAAACAACTAACTAGGTAGAGAAAAATAAATATGCTAAAAAATATATTGTTTTTGTACTGAGTGGAGCATCAAGTAAAGTGGTTGAACTTCATTTCTTGTAACCACCACCAAAAGTTCACTCGAATACACTTCTCTCTCATATATTACTTTAAGCAAAAAAATATTCCAATTCTTAGTGCAGACGCTACCATAACACCATTACTCCTTAGTCTCATTACCAGTAACCTAAATTTATAGGGATCAAAGATAACGACAAGCCTATTTCTAGCTATAAGCAACATTGAATGAGCTTTTTCAACCTTCCCACTCACATTAACAATCTTTGGCAAGGAAGGTTTAGTCAATTTTACGTAGTATGCCACCATAATAAACATAAATCTATTCCATTCAACCAAAGGTTGAACATTTTTAATCATCAAAATACGAAAAATAAAAGGTTTACTGTGTTTAACTTCTACCTTAAATTCATGAAACATTTAGGAGATTGGCATAAATGACATGAGTTTTTGTGAAAGTATATTCAAAGGAAAAGGAGGTTACCATAAACTATCATAAAAGTGTTCTTTTGGACTTGTTGGACCTCCTCTATGTTCATTAACAATTTTATTAATATCATCCAACTTAGCGAATATTGTTAAGTTGAGAATTGATACTTTTGAGGTCAGATCGAATATTTTTGTGCAACTATTTTAACCTAGATTCAAACTGCTCAATTAGTTATTGTAGTAGAGTCTTCATCCCTTCATCCACGGCCAAAATCAAAGCTTTGATACCAATGATGCAAGTCAAAATTTAAGAAAAAAAATTAAAGGAATTTCCAGAAGAGTCATAGAGTAAGAAAAAAAAGAAAAGAAGACAGAAAATTTTAGATGAAAAATAAGTTGTATCATTGCATAATAGATTACCTCTACAATTCTCTTTTTTCCTATTTTATGCTTAGTTGACAATAATAAACCGAGATTCTTGGTTGCCAACGTACTAAAAAAGTAATTAAAAAAACATAAATAAGGGCTTTAATAAGAAATAGGCCTTACAACCAAATAAAGTAACAAGCCCAACTAGTAAAACACTAACAAGCCCAACAAGTAAAACACTAAGTCCAAATAGGATAGAGCAAAATTCGGTTAAAATTGAAAAGACAAAAAAAAAAAAACCCAAAAATTATGAAAAATTAGTTTGGATTAGTCGGGTTAGATGGATATCTTGGTTATTGTTTTGGTTTAAATGATTAAAATGATCGATTTTTGGGTTTAGAATTTGAATTCAAATAAACCAAAATATTTGATTTAAATAATTAAAAATAAAAATGAATACCTCTTTTGCATTTTTCAGTTTTTCATTTGTAACTCTAGTGGCACACCTATCTTCTTCTCCATACCCATCTTTACTCTAAACATTTCATGTTCTACCTCATTCTCATTGCCCCACACATCTTCTTCCCTAAAACCCTGTCATAGTCCGCCTCTCACTAGTCGCATTCCGCCTCTCACAACAGTCACCAGTCTCTAGAATAAACTCCTTTACTACCTCACTTCTCAATTTTCACAGATTTAAGATTTAAGATTTAAGTTTTCACACCTCACAATCACAAGCATTAACTGTCGATCCCCTTTGCCATTAGTGAGATTTCAGCTGTTCGCCCTTCTCAGGTTCCCCTTTAGCCATTTCAAGCTTCGGTAGTGGAATTTGGAAACCAACAAACTTCCGAGTTCCAACTTTCAATCAAAGGTCAGTTGAGAAATGGGCTTTTAATTTATTTTAGTTATTTTGTAACTTTAATAGTAATGTAACAAGGTACATCCTTCATGAAAGCAAAATTTCTTTTGTTATTTACATATATAACTAAAAAAGCCTATATGGGGTTTCTTTCTTATGAGTATTTGTTACTTGGTAATTAAAATCCATGAACAGTTTTCGAGAACTTGGTAAACCAGTAGATATTCCTTCTTTTTTTTTTTTTTTGGTGTTTTTGACTTGACATCATAAATTGCCTAATATCAAGGATTCTTCCCCTCCCCCCCAATTCAAGAGGGTTCCTATATCAAATTTTTTGTTAGGCCTGATTTCTACACAAATTCTTTAATTTCCATGGCATGCAAATGTGATTTCTCCATTCCCTAAGCTTAATACTATGTTCAATTTCTTCAATAGTCAGATTAGATGTGTTAAATTGATAATATTCCTAATGGATGTTTTAAGGGAATGATCCTGTCAAAGCAACAGCTAGCAGTATCAGTTAATTTATGTGGTTATGGGTGCTTTTTTGCAGTAGTTTTCTATTCAAGAATTCGTGGATCTGTTCTTAGTTTATTTACTTTTCACAAACTGAGAACTGACATGCCAAGAGCTGAATATGAGTTTAGATTTTATCCTAGACCTAGTAATAGAGCATCTTGCAGATAAATCAAATCTTCAGCTGCATTTTACAAGCAAAGGTCAGACCAACTAACCCAAGAAAACTGACCAAGATCGATCAGCTTAATTCAGTTCAATTTTTTCGATTTTCCTAATATATATCAATCAATTTGATTTTTATAATAGATTAAATTGATTAGTCAGTTTTTTAATTTTTACAACTGAATTAACTAGACTAACCGTTTGCTCTGTCATAGGTCCAAACATAACAATGAATCCAGACAATATATGCTCGGAACACCATCATCCATAGTAAAACCATCATTAATAGACCCCAAAACCCCTTTTTTACTTTTGTTTTTTTTCAAAAAAACCAAAAAAAAAAAACTCATAGTGCCTACATGAGTGAAAAACTTTAGTCAAGCAAGTAAAAAAAAAAGGCAAATCAATTAGAGTCAAAAAAATATTTTTTTAGTTGGTTTCAGGAGAGAAAATGCACGATTGATTGAGCAAAAAAAAGGAAATAAAAGGTGAAAGGAAAAGGTGTTAGAAAAGTAAAAAGGGAAGGCTAAAAAAGTAGAATATAGGAATTGCTCATGAAAAAAAAAGAGGGGAAAATAGGAAGTCAAGCGGATTGCCCTTAGTGGACCCAATAATAAAAGGGTCATTGAGGTATATAAGAGTTCACACCACTTTCGTCTTGTGAGACGTCTTTTGTAGGATAAAACTATGAGGTCAGGAGATCAGAGCGAATAATACCTCACAAGGGTGTGAATCATGACAGGAAGGTTAATCTGGGACGTCGGATGAGTAGATACCTGGGTCCCGGAGTCACAGGGGTTCGGAACTTAAGTCTCGACCTGTGACAAGTGGTATCAGAGTCAGCCGTAAATCGTTCGATCCACGCCAAGCTCTTCGAGGGAGGTAGGCAGGGTGGCCAGCCTCCGTGACGAGTGCGTCACAAGGTTGAGTAGGAAAAAATGTCACGGATCTAAAAAAAAGTCATGAATCTCACATTGAACATAATAGGAGGGTCACTAAGGTATATAATGGTTCACACCACCTTCGCCGTCACGAGGTTGACTTAAGAAAAAGTCCTGAATCCCACATCGAACATAATAGGAGGTTCACTAAGGTATATAATGGTTTATACCACTTTTGCCTTGTGAGACGTCTTTTGTAGGATAAAACCGTGAGGCCAAGGGGGCGAGAGCAGATAATACCTCATAAGGGTGTGAATTGTGATAGGAAGACTGATCTGGAACGTCGGATGAGTAGATGCTCGGGTCCGAGAGCCGCACGAATTCGGAGCTTAAATCTTGACCCGTGACATAAGCATTTTGAACTTAAGGCCCATAGATTTGTTGGGTTTATTTTCTTGTCTCTTGTTTTCATGTATTATTATATATATAAGTTACTTTAATATTTATGTGTTTTAATAATTTTTTATACTACTAAATATTTTTGAAAATAAATTTGATGTGGATAGTTGAAATTTTTAGTGTTATAAAAAATTAATAAATAATAATAAACAAAATAAATGCTTTCATATATAAAAATAATAATAATGAATAAGTCTAAAAATAAGAAATTGATTATTTTAAGAAAAGCATTGAAAAGTGATTTTAAACAAAGTAAAATAAAAGATAATATTTATAGGTAAAATATAATTTTGGAGATCCTGCTTAAATATTGAAAATGATTCAAATAATTATTCTACGAAGGAGTATTATCTTTGTTTTGGAATTTACCATGGGATTTTCTGTCAAATAGAATAATATTTCTCAAATTCTACTTAAATATTGAAAAATTAAGAAAATTTTCTATCTCTAAAGGTTTTTATCAAAGAAATAATGGTAAGAAGTATAAAAATAAAATATTTTAAAAAATAATAATTAATTGCTTTGTGTGATTTTTATTTCCTTTATTTATTTCATATATGGCATTATATGCATCATAGTTGATAATAAATATGAAATAAAAAAAAAATAAAATTTTTAAAAAAAGATTTTTAAAAATAAAAACAAATATTTTTAAGTCAAAATAATTTTTGATATCTTATTTAGATATTTTAGAGTTTCTCAATAATTATTTTTTATAAAAAAATATTAATTAGATTTTAAGGATCACTATGAGAATCTCAAGTGAAACAATATTTTTAAAATTTTACCTCAAATATTGGAGAATTTAGAAAATATATCGAAATCTGTTATGGTATGAGTTTCATTCCCTTTAAAAGTTGTAGCTATCCCAAAGTCTGAAACCTTGGCATTCATCTCAGCATCTATTAGAGTATTGCTTGCTGTTAGATCCATGTGGATGGTTCTCCTCCCAAGGCAATGATTCATTTTTCTCTTGCCCTTATGAGAAGTTTGGAACCAGAATCTCCATTTTCTTCACTGCAGGGATCAGGGGCCATAAGGTTCATTTTTGAAGCCTAAAACCATTATATAGCATTAATCCTCTAAGCTTTTGCCCAAAGCATGATATTAAATGTCTGGAACAATGCAGTTGGTAATTGGTATAATCTGAAACCTGTCTCCAAATTAAAAAGCATAAAAGTAAATGGATCTGTTGTTACTCACAAGAGAGGGTAACTTAACTGGTATATGGCTCCAAGCAGCAGTTTATAAGCTACAGCCTAAAGATGAGCAGCACTCTGACAATTTTGCATAAGATTTTTATTTTCTTAAGATATGGCTCTACCATTTTCTTTTTATCTTAGAATGTTTTGGGGCTTTGACTAATTTGAAATTCAATTCCATATACATTGAAATACCCTCAAAACTCAAATATCTTGACAACTACAGAATGCATCTATGCCTCACTCCACCAGGTTAAACATGTGCCTGTTAGTGCAGTTGAACAGGCTAAACATATGCTCACCAGTAATCCAAAAACTCTCAGACTGCTTATATCTATCGTGCCTCTAAGAACGTAGAAGTAATTTCATTTACTGAATATGATGAAGATTCTATCCCAAGAGGATTCCTTTCTGTGTAGAAACCAGGTTGCTTTGGCTGGGGCAATGAACCATCACTTCCCAACATTAGAACCACTGAAGCCATGTTTGGCCTGTCTTCTGGTAGTTGTTGAACACACAGCAGTCCTACATGGATGCATCTTAACACTTTTGATACTACACAATAGTTTAGCAAAAATTTATCGACTAGGTCCAGGGGCTTCTCATCCATCCACAATCTCCATGCCTGAAAAACATCAAGAAAATCTCAGTTACAGACAACCCCCACCTAAAAGTAGACAATTTTAAATACGAAATGGACAGAGAAAAATATATGAAACTGATAAGATTTAAAATTTTAATAAAAAACATATATGAGTTTGATAAAAACAAAAAAAATGTGCTTTTATGTTTGATGTACTGACACGAATTGGGATATGATAATTTTCGTGTTTTATACATTTTAGACTCAAAATAGTTGATATAAATAAACAAGTCATCAGGCCTATCTGAAATGTTGCAAAATCACTAAAAAATTCTTCCATCCTTGCAACATAAAAAACCAGCTTTTATTATCAAAGAGGAAATGACACTTAGTAATGGTTCTTTGACGTGATGTAAAAACAGAAGATCCTTATCTTTATGCTTACATGTCCAAGCAGGTTAAGATGGTGATCTGAGTGATGAAATCCTCTGTTTCTCTTCTCACTCAATATTTCTAGCAATAAAACACCAAAGCTAAAGATGTCTGATTTCACTGAAAAGAGTCCATCAATGGCATATTCAGGTGGCATATATCCACTGCGAAAAACCATTGCAGAAAAGAATGAGTTTAAAAACTTTAAGATCAAAACAAAGTAAATCACAGATCACTTTTAGGTGGACGTACTATGTTCCAACAACTCTTTTTGTATTTGCCACACTTTGATCTCTTCCAAATGTTTTAGCCATACCAAAATCTGAAATTTTTGGATTCATTTCATTGTCTAGCAACACATTGCTGGCTTTCAGATCTCTATGGATAATTTTCAGTCTTGAGTCTTGATGAAGGTAAAGAAGCCCCCGTGCAATCCCACAAATGATATGAAAGCGCAAATGCCAATCTAGTATTTTGATTCTTTTTCTGTCTGTCAAAATGGCATTCAAGTTAGTAAATTACTATTTGAAGGAAACACAAGCTTAGCTCAGTCGGATCATGTGGTATCCAGTAGGTCTGGGTTTAAATGTCATCACCTGCAACCCCTTTCCCGGCCTACCAAAAAAGTTTCTATTTGTAGGCTTCTGAAAAAGGAAAACATAATAGAAAACGAAAGGAATATCTTGAATTTACAACAGGTCATACCAAATATAAAATAGTCCAAACTTCGGTTGGGCATGTACTCATAGATCAGCATCCTCTCATCTCCATGAATACAGCAACCAAGAAGCTTCACAAGATTTCTGTGCTGAAGTCTTGCAATCAAGATAACTTCATTCTTGAACTCTTTCCGTCCTTGGCCAGAGTTTCCTGAAAGTCTTTTCACCGCTATATCTTGTCCATCTCTCAAAGTACCCTGGAAATCATTCAATATAAAAAGGTTTGATTATCTTATGTGTGCCGATATCTGCCGTTGGCATATTATTACATTACCTTGTAAGCAGGTCCAAAACCACCTTCACCAAGCTTGTTATTACTTGAAAAGTTGTCAGTAGCTATTGCTATAGTATTGAAGTCATATCTTGGCAATTCCATGTCATCATTTGCATCTTCATCCATCCTGTCTTCTCTTTTTGTTGACACTGAAATCATATGGAACAGATCAGGTATGAGTAACAGTATATAAAACTCTTTCCATTCATGTAATGTTTGAATTTAACAGGAATTAGCCAATGCTATTCTGTAAACATAAAGGAGTATTAGCTATCAGTTATGTTACCTAGGATTTGATGCTTCCTCTTCCAGATAAACAATAGTAATCCTATTATCAGACATCCGATGATGAATATTAACAGAATTTTTATGAACCTCAATCTCTTCTCATTTTTATGCCTTTGCTTCTCAATATGATCTGGAACAAACAGCAACATGTCAGTAAAACATAATATGACTTGTGCAGATCCCCTCAAAATTATATGAATTTATACATCCAAAAGAAAATTGATAGCAACTTGAACCAAATACAGGTTACCAATAACCCTGCTAAAAAACACTCTTGTTGCTTTAAAGTTACAGAAAATCTAATTCAACGTAACGTTTAGTTACATCAACAGTCGCGTGGACCATGGGTAGAATGTTCAACTCTTAGTTCTAGTGACTAGAGTTTAAATCCCGGCAACCTCGAGTACCAAAAAAATGTTAGTTTGGTCATCCTTTGCAACCAACAGAAAGAAAGGGAAAAGAAAAATCAAATAAATGGTACCTAATTCTGAAGCAGCCATCCGTACGTACAGTTCCTGTCCACCTTCATTGAATTCCCTTACATCCATTAAATCTTTGAACCAAAGCAAGCAGCCACTTCCTTCTCCCCTGATATCGGAATTTGTATAGGCAGTGCAAGAACAGTTTTTCAAACACATTTCCCTGCACATATCAAGGCTTATGGTTCCATTAAACCAAGAGAATGAAGTATCAGGTAATTTTACTCCGCTATGCTTTAAAAAACCATCTCGACTTCCACAATTTAGTGGAGTCCTTCGAACACAGCCATCAGTCCAATCTAATAAGCTCCAATCTCTTGGAAATTTGGGTACAAATCCTTTTAAGCATTCACATACAGGAGAACCTTGGATGTTGCATCGACCATATGCACCGCATAAAGCATAGTTATCACAGTTATCCATCATCATGGATAAGAAAAGGAGCCAAGTTTGTGTTCGATCAATCCAGACGAAACGTTGCAAAGGACCTGATTGGTTCACAATTAGCCTTGAGACAACCGAACTTTTATATAGTTTATATGAGTAGTATACTTCTTTCTCATTGAATATGAATTCAAAGCTGTATATATTGTTTTTCTTCAGCTCAGGAGTTCCAGTAAACCTGAGTCCATTCCATGGACCACAACGAAACTGAAAGTTAGTTCCTTTCATTATAACTAGTTGTGGAAATCCACGAGAATCTATCCGAAGTGAAAACTCACCTTGAGCTGGATCATCTGCACTCTTCCAGGATGATAAAAACGTTTCTTTACCTGTGATGAAATCCTTTCCAAGCTTCATTCCTGGAAGTAAGGTATCTGATGGATAATCAAAACTTTGCCATAAAATGTTCTCATCCCCATCTCTGACCACAAGGTTTCCTGAGTCCAAGAGCTGTGCAACTGGATTCTGTGGAGGTCTTGATGTATTGGATGACCAAAATATGCTGTTTGTGTTGTCACTAAGTAGAAGAATTCCTTGGCTACTCATACTTAAGACTCCTGATGTACCAAAGATCGGAGTTTTTCTGTTGGCTACCCATACTACTGTTCTGATTGATACTTTTTTGGTATTGTACCAAATTCCGAGGTATCGGCTTGTGGAATTACCAGGACTGAAGAAACCAAGTTGAAAGATTCCATCTGTTGATATTAAAATGTCAGTGTTGCTATCTTTTTTTAACTGACCTGGTGTAATAGTACTTTTTGCACTAGAAACTGTTAGCAGGCAGAGTAAGTAAATGTACACTAGAACCATTGCAACCATTGATTCCTACATTCACTTCAAGCAGTATAGATCATCCATCGTTTAAGAAAAGCTTGAAGGTATGATTTGCAACAAAATGCAGAAATACTAGCTCTAAAGTAGAATTATAAGGAATAATATAGTTTTGGGCTGACCAAGAAATTTTCAGCCATTGTAGCCAGCAAAACACTAAGAACTGTTGCTTTCAATTCAATTTCCTCTACTGGCTTATGAAACGTTACCTTAGATATTGAATTTTCTCAATGCAATAATTAATGCAGTTGTACAAACATGACCAAGTCATGAAAATTTAATCAATAAACATCATATTGCCAAGTCTATGTGGTTCAACAGCCAAAAAGACCAAAAAAGTCCACGGTTGCCATGCTCAGGGACTGCATCACCTTCAAATTCTTAGTAACTACGAAAGTGTCAGCATACATTAATTTGATTGTTCATACTTAATTTCAAAGTCTGTCACCACTAGAAGTCTTGGTCTTTTGTTTTTTGTTCTACGTCTATTATCTAGTACAAATCTCCTTTTAATGGCCTTGAATTTCTTTGGTACAAGTCTCTTTCATTGCACAGTCGATCTTATAGTATTAATGTGCTTTTACTTCATGTCTGATGCATTTAGAAGATCACTCTCATCGCAATAAGGCCCTTGGAAATGGAAGAAGAGATTGCAACCTCCCAAAATTGAATCAAGGCTCTTTCTACTTGGATTGTTCCCGGTATACGATACACATGAGCCGAAGCTCCATAAAAAGCTGGAAAATCTGCATAGAGAAGTTGTCAGAACAGAACTAGTGCAAGTTCTCTGCTTCAATGCTTTAAATGACCTGAGTTGCTATCTTTGAAGAATTACTATAATCTATGTGATTGTGTATGACACCTAATGCAGATATTGACACCTGGCTAGGTTTTTGTTTTTGCTGTAACTTGTGGACTAAGCTATAAGTGAATAGGAGAGGTGGAGGGATGGGATTTCAAGAGGGGGAGGAGGGGGGGGAGGAAAATCAGGTTTTTTCAGGAAAGAGTGAGTGGCTATTGAAGACAATTGAGAGTACATGATAATAAGATAAATGATTGAATTCTTCTATTATTCTTTTTTTTTTCCTAAATAAAGGTAGCCAAAAAATGTAAAAAAAAAAAAAGAAAGAACGAAGAGAGAGATATGATTGATGAAGTAAGAGAAGGTACAATTGTTGATTTCCTTTTTTTTAAAAAAAAAAACCCAAATGGGAAAAAAAGTAAAATGGATGAGGAAGTGGGCTGCCACATGAACATTAGTCTAAAAAATCTATAACTTTGATTGTGGATTAGCACATGAAATACATAAGGGAAAAAAACAATATTACATTGCTTATTCCCAAACTACATTAATCCTAAGCACAAATTACAAAAATGTAAGATTAGTTTGATAGACTTAAACTCTTTCACTATTATTTTAGAGGTATATATACAAATAGTACAAATCCATGTAGAAATTAAAGCTATATGACAGATGGAAAGCATTAAGAAAATATTTTGTTATGATGAAAAACTATCTAACATATTTGGTCATATTATGGTTGAAAATAAACACGTGCTAGGTGAAATGATTGGCAATGAAATCAAAACAATTACATTCTGGATAATGTAGAAGCCAATTTTTTCTATGGCCTCTTGACTTAATCTGCATGAAAGCAACAAAGTACGCCAATGTATCAAATTTTTGCTAAAGTTTTGGAGATTATAATTGTTGTTGAGTATAAAATAATTTTAGAGTTTCAAAGTTTGGTATATAATTCCATAAAGCCATATACTTTACCCTTTCTTCACAAACTATATTAAGATTTAATTGCATAAGCAACATACTTTTAATTTAGACAAAAGAATTAACAGAAAATAAAACCAGGTAGTGAGGAGATCATTCCATTTACTTCTAAATTCTACAATTCTAGTCAGGAATTCAACAATGAGATGTGAACACGGTGACCAACAAACAACATTCCTCTCTTATATTAACAGAGAGAAATTGTTGCTTTTATTAGGTATCCTTTCAAACTAAATAATATTTCTTCAAAAATTTAAAAAAATAAAATTGTCGCTTACCAAAGTAATAAGTTGATCACGATCCTTGCTCGTTAAAAATCCTTTGTAAATTAAAGTCCAACATAATGAAAAAAAAGTGATACATTTAATATTTGATGGGACCATCTAGTTCAACTCTTGATGCCATTAATTTTGTTACTATACTATTGATATTGTTTACTATGAATGATAAAAGTGAAGAGTATCCATTCTATGTCACATTGCTGTTGTAAAAAATGGGTTAGAATTATTTATTTCTAACACCAAAATTTCAACTCTTTCGCTCTTTATTTTTCATGGATAATTGTATATTTACAAAACTAAGTAAATTTAGTACTACCCATAATCTTATTTATTTTAGTGTTTCTCACTAATGTTCAAAATCATCAAGAAATTTATGAAACTTCCATGTCATGCCAAGGAAAAATAAATGTAAAAGCAGTACCAAGGGATTGCATAAGGCCAAGCTTTAGAGAGCTACTCAGTAGGTTAGAATACTACAAAACTTAATGGGTTGTGGTTTCAGTTTTTTGTAGTTGAAGAAAATCAAAAGGCATTCAAGCCATCAGAATTCACACATGTAAATTAAAAAAAAAATTACAAAAATTTCAGCATAAATGATCTTCAGCTTATTCATAGTTAACCATCTCAAAGACTCATCCAATTAATTCCATAAAAATCATAATTAAAAATAAAAAGTAATATTAATAAACTAATCATCAATTAGTAAACTAAAAAACAAAGCATTAATTTTACTCAAAAATAAAATAATAAGAAGAAAAAATGAAACTGATTAAAACAATTTCACAGTTTAAATGTTCATTATATAAAATTTTAAAAGGAGAAGTAAGGATTGAAGAGAAAACCTCCAAATAGTCAACACTGTCATTAGAAGAACTCCACTTTAAAACATCTTTCCAATCCTTAAGGCATCCAATGAACACCTATAAAAACGAAAACAAATCAGTGAATTAAGATTGAAGCAAATCTCACTGTATAAATTACCCAAAAAAATTGAGCTAATTTTTCTTGAAAATCAAACGGGGAAAGGAAAACAAAAAGAATTGAAAGAATATAAGAAAACAATTCAAGATTCAGTTTAAGAGACCACTTCTTTTTTTCATATACCCAAACTAAGATTAAAGATGGTGTGACGAAGTTTATTGTCTAGATAGATTTGATGTTATTGGAAGAATTGTCAAAGAAAAAAGAAAAAAATGATTGTAAGAATAAATTTTAAAAAAAAAAGTGAAAAGAAAGTAAAGATGACAAAAAAAGCAAAAAATTGTCAAAGCCTTTCCTCTTACCCACCCCATCAAATGAAAGTGAACCCTAAAAGAAAAAAAAAAGCCAACTGGGGTGACGTGGACACCCTCAGAATTCTCAAATCTTTGCAAAATTCATATTATGAATTTTACTTTACTCTAAATCTACATTTATAATTTTAAAAATGTAATATTTAGTGTTTGTAATATCAATAAATATTACGTTTCTAATTTAAAAAATGTAATTTTTGATGAATTTTTTTAATTAATAACTATGTTTACACTTTTAAAAACATAATTTTTGTAAAATATATTTTTTATAAACGTCAACTAATATTATTTTTTTAATTTGAAAAATATAGTTTTTGATTTTTTTTATTAATGACTATGTTTATTATTTTAAGTAGAGGTTCTTCATGTCCTATCAACTATTTTTATCATACATTCTCAATAACTAGTCTATCACTTCACATATTAATTAATAGTCTTAAAAAGCAAAAGTGAAAGGAAAAGGTAAGGGGTAATTTGTTTTTGTTTTCAAATTTTTTGAAAATTGAAAACAAAAACATGTTTGGTAGGTTGTTTTTAGTGATAAACATGTTGCTTTTTGTTTTCTATTTTTGAAAGCCGAAGATAAAGTTTTGAAAAGTTTTGAAAATTGTGGAAAACAAAAAAAAAAAAAATGGTGTTTTTAGTTTTTTGGAAATAATTTGGCATTGTTACTACATAGGTACCGTTCATAAAAATTATAATTAAACTGTTATAGTGATGCTAAAATTATTATATTAATAAAATAATAATTTTATTATATAAATATTATATTAATAAATATTATTATATTTATTATATAAATAATATAATATTAATAAATAATATAACATAATATTAATAAATAATAAAATTATTATATTAATATTATTAATATTATTATACTATTAATAACAAATGGAGTCTGAAAACTTTAACCACTTTTTTTTATATGTTTTTGTTTTCACATTTCTAAAACAAAAACATTCTGTCCAAACATGTTTTTCAATTCAATAAATTGAAAATAAAACAAAAAAAATTTAAAAACATAAAATATAAAACACACAATAATACCAAACGACCTCTAAGTCAACGAATCTCACTAAAGTTTTCTTTTTACTTTCTCAAGAATTTTTTTTACAATAAAAAACTACAAAGATTACCTTTATTACATAAGAAAGGTATTCTTTATGCACCAAAATTTCTCATTTTACTTTTCCAAGAACTTTTTTTTTCATAACAAAAAACTATAAGGACAATATTTCTTATATAAGATACGTAGCTTTCATGTACCAAAGCAAAAGTGATAAAGGAAAAGGGAAGTTAATGAATCTCACCAAATCTTATCTTTTAGTTTTTCAAGAATTCTTTTTTACAACAAAAATTACAAAACTACCTTCTTATGCAAAAAAAGCAGTCATTGTGTATCAAAATCTCACCAAATATTTTCCTTTTACTTTCTTAATAACATTTTTATAAGCAAAAAACTACATAGACTACCTTTTTTATGTAAGAAATGTAATCTTTGTGCACTAAAATCTTATCAAATCTTTTCCTTTTACATTTTTAAGAATTTTTTTTAACCAAAAAACTACAAAGACTACCTTTTTTATGTAAGAAACGTAGCCTTTGTGTACCAAAATCTCATTAAATCTTCTATTTTTACTTTCCCAAATTTTTTTTTTTAAAATAGTTATGTGTGAGAACTTATGAAAGCTCTTGAAAGCAATACATTTTCTTTTTTTACTCTTAATGCTCATGAAAGCAATATCACGTTAAAATTGAGGTTTGACAAATACATATGGGTGAGAGCTGGTTTTGGCTTTACAAAGATTATGTTTTTATACGAGAAACGCGATCTTTGGATTGTTTTCAAAAACTACATATCAAAAACAAAAATTATTGTCTTTGTTAGCTTTTCATTTATGTTTTTTATGTCAAAACATGATCTTTGTTAGTTGTTCATGTAAAAAACCTTTCACTTTTCTCGTTCTCTCTTCGGGTATATTAGAGAATAACTAGCTCTCTTTTTTCTAACATATTTTTAGAAAAAAAAAACAAAAAAAGCAAAAAAAAAAAAGTAAACCGTGAAGCCACCACATGGCACTCATAATAAAAAATCTTGTGTTCTGTACATTTGCAAAATTTATCTTATGAATTCATATCACATGATTTAATTCGTAATCTTCCAATTTAAAATTTGCGAAGTTTTTTTCTATATACTTTAGTTAAGTCAACCTATGATTCAAATAGTGATTTAATAATGGAATTGTGACCTCAAAATTATGGTAATGCCATCACCTGCCACCACTATTGAAAGAAATGTTGTTGAGAAATTTATTCATAGTTAAAACGGTCCGTAACGATCGTAAAATAACAGCGTAATAAGAAATAATGGTAATAACGGATCGTAATTGCCGCTATTATCATTTTCCTCCTCACGGATCAACAGTTTAAGAAAAAAATAAAATTTCAACACTATCAAAATAAAGCAATAAGCTCGCAAAAGTAAAAGTAAAAGCAAAAGAAAAAAATAAAACTCAAAATCTCAGGTCCTTAGTATCAAAATCAATCTAAAAACTAGTTAGAAAATAGACAAATTATTTATCAACCATTCAATTGGCATTTCGGCAGCAACCTTAACTTAATCCGTAAATTACCCAAATTTAAATCAACCTCAAGTTCTCAATCAACGTTCAAGATCAAAGAAGATAAGAAAAGAAAGTTAAATTACCTTTTTTTTTTTACAAAATTTTTGTAAAATGATATCTGTCTTTGTGAGAGTTTGAAAGAAATGAACAAGGTATTCTGTAGGTACTAAGCAAGTGATAGCAATAAAAGAATGCGAGAGAAAATGAGAGATAAAAAAAAAGGAGAGAAGAATATTCTCGAGGGCCAAGCTCTAGAAGCATGAAGAAGACAAATAGAAAAAAGAAAGCTAGGTGCTTGGGTCTACTGATATTAGATAAAATTGGGGGATATTGGGGCACATGGGTGGATGAGGGATTGGGTAAGGTGGGATGGAGTGGGCGGTGGGGGGATGAATGTTTTATTTAATTTTGTAATTAATTTTTGAAAATTTTTTAGATAAAATTTAATTAGAAGTTTTGAAAATTTATAATTAAAAAAATAAGGAATTAATAATTTAATATAATATATATAGAGATTTTAGATGAAAAATTTTGATAAATATTTTTGTATAGTTAGATGAAAAAAATTAAAATTAAATATTATATTTTAATTTTGTTATATATTAATTTATGATTTTTATTTGAAATTTAACAGTTTTTTTTTTATTGTTTTTGGTATTATATTTTGTCAATTTTTTTATATTAGATTAATTCTTATTAGTTTTGTGTAATTATTGAAGATGCTATTTATTATAGAATTATTGAAAGTAATTTGTGATAAAAAAATTATATTAATTAGCATATAAAAAAGATTAGGTTATTTAATAAATTTAGTGTTTTATGATCTATTACTCTTATTAAGATTAAAAACTAAAAAATAAAAAATATAAGTTTGAAAATTTTATTAAAATATAAGTTTGAAAATTTTTAATTTTTGAAATTTTTTTAGATAAAATCTAATTAGAAGGATTGAAGATTTATAATTAAAAAAAATTAAGGGATTAATAATTTAATATGATATATAGAAATATTTTAGATGAAAATTTTTTATAAATTTTTTTGTATAAGCTAGATGAAAATTAATTAAAATTAAATATTATATTTTGATTGTGTTATATATTAATTTATAATTTTGTATTTGAAATTTAATAAATTTTTTAGTATTTTGATATTTATATTGTTATCAATTCTTTTGATATTAGATTAATTCTCGTTACTTTTATGTAATTATTGAAGATTGTATTTATTATATAATTATTGAAAGTTATTTGTGATAAAAAAATTTATATCAATTAGTGTATCAAAAAGATTAAGTTATTTAATAATATTCTTAAGATTAAAAACTAAAAATTAAAAAATTTAGCATAAATTCAATTTTTAATGATGTAATAAGTAATATTAATATTTCTAAATATAAGTTTGTTTTGTTTTTATACAAAATAGCAAGTATGCCACCACGTGAAGAGTTCTCAAGTAAAGGAGTAGAGGGCGTACCAAATGATGTATAGGTTGGCATTTTGGAATACCTGCCCAAATACAAGAGGAAATGTTTCATGTAAATGTTGTGGTAAAGTTGTAAAAGAAGGAATAATACGTTTCTAGTTGTAAACTAGTAATGTTGCACCATGCCTCAACGTTACTAGTATGTTATGTTTTTATAATTCCTTTGAAAATATTATTGTTAATTTCTTAATAAAAATTATAAAATTACACAAGCATGTGCAACTAATTTTCTCTTTTTTTTTTTTAACTATATTATTAATAGGTATAGTAAGAGAAAGTATGATGAGACTTTATCAAGAAAGCAAATAAAAAAAAGCTAACAACAAAAGGAGAAAAAAATACATTTTTATCATAGTTAATAAGAGCAAATGATTATGAAGGATTTTTTTATGAAGACATTGCTACTAGACAAGTCGTGCGAGATAGTATCTAATCACAACATGAATGGCATAAAAAATAAGAATTTAGACAAAGAACTAGTGATTGGAGTAGCATATATGAAGAGGGACGAAGCTCTCATAGCTCAGTTGCTAAATATTTTGAAGAAAGAACACTGAAATCAACTCTAAATGAATATGAATTTTCATTAAGGGTAGCTATACCTGAATTGGTTAGAAGTAAGAGTTCAAGGCAACCAAAAGAAATGATTCATTTTAAAGACATTAAGAAGAAATATGGGTGAATTAGTATCAAAATTTTTTATATATGATCGATTTCCTTTTCATTTAGCAAATTCTTCATGGTTGCATAATTTGATTTTTGTGGCAACAGAAGTTGGCCAACATGTAAAACTTTCAATACCTTATGAGGTCTCAGTGTGTATTTAGAGTCTGA